AGGCTGTGCATCCAATGTATCCGGCAGTAGATGATTCTTTTCCCGTCACCTCTGTTGTCAGTACATACGCTACCGGAAGTCCCTCCTTTTCTTCGGCTTGCGAATCGGCCACCCCTAGCGGCCGTGGCAGTGACGGCGACTACCTCACAGACACGACTGTCTCCGCCACTCAACCATCGCTGGCTTGTTGGCAGAAGAGCGGACCAGTCAACGATCTCCACTGTACTCTCTTTGAGGATTCTGAGCAGTTGGCACTTACCAGTGACTTCTTCGTCATCCCGTCGGGTAGCCTTCGCGTTGCCAAATTCAGCGATATGCTGCCTAGTTTGAACTCGACACCTAGCGGTCACACTGAGACAATGGTCGATGTCTCCGCTGACCAGTCGAAGAACCATACTGACTTTTCTGTCGGCTACTTGATCGGCAGGGATGGCAGTAGTGCCGGTGGTGATGGTGGTGGCAGCGGTGATGGTGGTGTTGACTGTGATGGTACTATGACGGCGATGCACGCTAATACACAGTCGACACTCGCTACCTCTCATTACACATTTGCACCTATCTTCACCTCCAACGTCCTGCCTTCTTTGCCCACTTCCGACTGTCTTTCTCTCATTCCCATAACCAACAACTTTGAGGACGTTCCGAACGCCACTACAGACTTCTCATGCAATGGCTACCTTATCTAGCATATATACATATGTGATACATGGCTGTTCTTTTATCAAAAATGTGCTGTAATTACCTTTCACATCGACTCTGTTTTACCTTGCTGTACAGTTGCTTGTATTTTTTCTCGATGTTCGATAGTACACATTCGAGAAATGTCGAAGAAGAGCAAAGAACATCCGAAGAACTTTACTAACTTTTTTTTTTAACTCCGTTGCCGCTTTTCGCCACCGCGGTGCTGATGGCCGCAGGACCGTGAGTACTCAACGATGTTACTGGCAGGTCTGCAGGCTCGAACAGTTAACTCGGGCATAGAGAGGGAGATAGGTCTATATTGAGGAACCAATTTTATCGAGAAACCAGCGCATTTATGACTATGCTATATCCAATAGAACCGAGCAGTCGTTAAGAAGGAGACACGATCGCTTGGACAAGAGCTTTATTCGCCTGCCGTTTTTTATTCCTTCTCGAACCCATCATCAGAGACAATAGCAGATACGGTTGGTTCATGCACAAAGGGCTGCATGTATATTAACAAGCGCAAGGACCTTCCCCTTCCATACTCGGTGCTGAGACTTCGCCCTGGAGGAGTGGTTAGCCACGCGGGAAGTGCATAGGCTAACACTTCTCAACACCAGGGTCGGTGAGCCAGATGATCGAGTAATCACACCAACACCCAACACCCGTGATGAATTTGCAGCGATTAACGACGTAAATGTCGGCCATCACACAGTCATCATACCAAGTGCAAGGATCCCTGATGAAGGGGGGGGGGTTGAATATTCATAGGTATGCGGTAGCATGGCGACTGCATCCTATAAATACTGCAGCCCCTTATGCATGAACCACCCGTATCAGCTATTGTCTCTGATGATGGGTTCGAGCAGGAGTCTGAAACGTCATGCGAGTAAAGATCTTGTCCCGGCGATCGTGTCTCCTTCTTCACGTATACTTTATCTGACGCGCCTCATGGCGGCCTTTATGGAACTCTCACTGATCTGGGCATTGAGGGTGTCCTCACAGAGACCTGGTGCCGTGTCCGACACACGGCTGTCTAACTTTGTCGGGCAACATCAAACGCTGGTCAGGACTCAATACGTAAATCGTTCTTTTCTAATAGAAAAGACGATTCTAACCTACCAAGGTTAATTTGTTGGTAGCAAGCTGTTACCCCCACTTGACCTAGAAGACAAGTGTATGGTAATTCAGGCCATAGCCCGCGACCTCGATCTCTGCCCGAGTACTCCTGTCTTATCTGTTTCCCCAAATGAACAAGTTTCTGTGCGAGTGGAAGTACCCTCGATCCCGCAATGTGCCTGCCAACTAGCGTTTTGGTCGTCTATTCTGCCGTCAAGCGGTTTCCACCATCACCGGTTGCCTTCTGGCCCTATGCCCGTGGCTGCGTCCAATGCTGTTCCAGCCCACCTTCGCCTTAAAGGAACATCTGAGTGAGGCTCTCCTGGCTAGTTTGTTTGGGTAAGATCGCAGTTGGTAGCCAGGCACTGTACGTTGATACTGTCGACGTACTTACTTGTTATCAGTGGGTGTGTTTACCTTGCCCAGGGAACTGGTTATCAGTAGGTGTGCTTCTACTGCGTGAGGTAGGTCGGCCGTTTCGGTCAGGCTGTTGGGCTTCGTGAGGGTTACGGTTAGGCGTAGGTCACGCTTTCGGATTAGGGTTTGCATTATAGGGTCCGGCTTCAGTGTTAGGGTCAGGGTTTAGGTTTACGATTATGGTCTGGCTTTAGGGTTGGGGTTCGGCTTCAGGGTTAGGGTTACCGGTTAACGACTAATGGTTAACGGTTAAGGTTAGGGTTAAGGTTGAGGTCAGGGTTAGTGTTAGGATTAAGGTTAGGGTTATGGTTAAGGTTAGGGTTAGGGTCAAGGTTAGGGTTAGGGTTATGGCTAGGTTTTGGGTTAGCGTCGGGTTTTAGGGTTTTGGTTACGTTTCGGTATTGAGGATTAGGGCTAGGCTTTACGGTTGCAGTCAGGTTTGGATTTTAGGGTCAAGCCTAGGGTTTAAATTTCCGCCATTATTTCACCTACATATAACTTCCCAGCACGTTGAATAGTAACTTTACTTTTACCCAGATACTTCAGCATTCCTCTACCAGCCCTTCCATTTACCCCACCCATATAACCTCCTTTCCCACTATTGGCGTACGACAGGGGCCTGGCTGTCCGCCTCCCCATTCCTAGCCACCAACTGCGTTCTATCCCTTTATGCTACGGGATGGCACGCCCATGTCCTTTTCCAGGTCTGCAATTTAGTATTTTCTCACGAGGCTCCAGTGCAGATAAGGTAGCCATGTGTTCTTTGCTAGTGTCAGCAAACTATGGCCATCGTCGGCAGTTCTCTGAAACCTGGTTTCCTGCTGGTAGATGCGCATACGCTCCTGTTGGGTATACAGGTGGTGGGCATGGCTGCCCAATCATCAGCTTCCTCCTTCTCACCCCGTGTTGGGGTGCTGTTTTTATTGTTGTTGTTGTTGGTGAAAAATCCTATTCAAGTATATGTTGTGGCGGCACGCCTAGGTGCGTGTCCTGCCGCGCCAGCCGCCTGCGCCCGTCCCCGCCTCCAGTCTCCTTGACTTTGTCTTGACACCGGGTCCAGGTGGGGAAGAAAGAGTGCGGTAGATGCTGCGCATGTTTACATTCACTACAAACTAAATCACCGTGTCTGTTGCACCTTGTTGTGTAGCACACGGTGGACATCGTCGAAATCGACGGTCGAACTGTCATCGTCGCCTGATGGTGACGTTGGGTCTTTGCAGTTCTCCGAGCTTTGATGTTAGGCCGGAGAGTAGAATACTCGTGTCCTCTGTTTTGGCTGCTGTTTAGTAGGCAGAATTCAAATCAGAAGAAGAAGCGATCGCCGGAACAATGGCGAATAAAGCCATTGTTCCAGCGATCGCTTCTTCTTCTGATCAACTAGTTCCTGGAACTCGCATTTTCGCTTGTATCGAGAATTCAAATCCTAGCAATAGAGCCTCTGTTTCTCATCTGTTCGGTTTTTCTGTCAGATCTACTGAGATTCCGCCTGTCTGGAATGGGTCATTTGTAGACTTCTGACTCAGGGATTTCCTAGTCCTTTTTGTATGCTGAACGTGTTTCCCCTGAACCCAAACCTGCAAAAAGCTCATCTTGCTGAAGATGATTCATGCCTAATCCGAGCATAAATTTATGCAAAAGTCAGCGTTATGTGCAGTAGGTGACGGAAGTCATGAATTGTTAATCAAGATTTAAAAAATGCGATTTCAGCTGGAATGAACTACTTGGGTGGGGTTGCATGAATGATTAGCGTGCAGTAGAACTCAAGGTGTTTCAGCCAAACCAGCATACAGGATTGTGGATGCGCGTGACTTCCCCCCACCTCAAAACGTCACTATTGCTACTTAGCAGGAATTCTCCTCACTGATTTTCGATGCACGGATAAATGCAAACATACACTGAAATATTTATTTCCATAGTCGTATCTTAAAATATGCATGTCCTTAAATTTGTAGGCTCTAAAAACGGAGTTCTTCGATTTAAAAAGCTTATGTGCAGGAGATTGTAAAGATTGTGAAACGTCACCCTCCTTTCTGAGCCCGATGTCATGACAATGTCGAGAAGACCGGAAGGGGGAGAGGACGCATGCAACTGGCGAAGCGCGGGCTTGCGCCTAGGCGTGCCGTCCGGTCACCCTCCACTTTTTACATTCAATGTGGATGTAAATCTCAATAACGCCCTCCGGACTCTGATCTGACCCTTGTTTTAATATAAGAAAACTGTAAATATAAAAACACAAGCACACAACATCTTAAATTGCCAACTGTACACGTACTTGAAGTTAAAATCCTCCAAAATGCAGCGTGTCCAATAGTATCGCACCTATCAGAGACATTCGCAGAAAAGGGGGAATAAGAGCAAAAGAGGCGCAGTATTTATAGGGCGCGGTTACCAGGCAACCACGCGCACATGCATATTCTTTATATTTTTTTACTTTCTATTTTTATATGTCATATAAATGTTCATAAAACATAATTTCATGTATAAATTATTTGGGAAATTACGCCTTCTTCCATTTTCTAATCAAAAAATCTATCGTTCGCTTTTTGAATATTTTTTTTCACTTTTTAAATAACTTGATATATCAACCGGCGCTACGCTTACATTTAGCGTTTCCGAACAATATGCTATACATATTCTGTCCAAGGCGTATCACATAGTTCTCGACGCTGTTAGGAATAGCTAATATAGCGTTCACAAAATTGTGCAATAAATGTGGATATGGCCGTATACCTTACAAGAAGCTTTAGTAAAAGTGTCGATGCGGGGCTTATGACTGTAACTATCATAATTTAATACTTTTTAAGACCGAGAAGAAAGTTTTTTTAAATTTGAAGGTTTGAAGACGCAAATTATTATCAAATGAGCATAAGATAGATTATTAATGTGCGCTTTTTTGTAAAATATAATTAAATTTATAGGCGCATCGAAAATTAATGGGAAATGTTAAGGCTACTTAAGCAGTCACTATTTGCGATGGGGTCTTTTTAGATGGCCGAAAAGAATTTTTCTCAAAAGCCGACATCCTGATATGAGTGAAAAATCTTAAGATAATGATGCGCAAAAATTATTAGTACAACCATATTTAAGTGACTACTTCGAACTAAAGACATATTTTGGAATTTCGTTTAACATTCCATTGCAAGGTAATGTAGATTTCCATCCAGGTTGATAAACATTCTGCATAATCGAATCATACAAAGCCATATTCTCCACAGAGAAGAAAATTTTCACAAAGGCTTATGCGAAAAGGTAAAGTGCTCAATGTTTTAAGTGCATTACAGCGAGCATCTAGATTCCCCTCATCAGGTTTGATTTAGATTATATTTGGATTTATAGGGAAATAGAACGTCAGTGCAAAAAACACAAAATTGTTTACTAATTGTTTTTAAAAATGTGTTCTTTCTTCAAGTTTTTGGAAGAATGCGCATTAAAAACCCGGCAGCTTGGAGTGACTGAATTATCATAG